CGGTGCCACAAGTGTGTCGCAGTGCAAGAGTGAGTATGAAAAATGCTTTGTGTTGTCAGATTTCTTAAACATGCGCGGTAGACTTATCTTCTTTGTGTGTGTGTGTGTGTGTGTGTGTGTGTGTGTGTGTGTGTGTGTGTGTGTGTGTGTGTGTGTGTGTGTGTGTGTGTGTGTGTGTCTAGACAGGCAATGTGGCGGCGAGATGGGCGAATTCATGGGTTACATCGAGTCGCCCAACTATCCCGGTAATTACCCCGCTAATGTGGAGTGTATCTGGAACATTAACCCACCAAGCAAGCGCAAGATCTTAATCGTGGTCCCGGAGATCTTCCTGCCCTCGGAGGATGAGTGCGGAGATGTGCTGGTTATGAGGAAGAACTGTGAGTGTCTCTCACAACAGTTGTTATTTCAGTGGAATTATAGTGTAAGATAATATCACCATACAAACCAGATTAGTCACCATTGTCCTTTCCTTGCCTCTGAAGGGTCAGCTTCATCCATCACCACCTACGAGACGTGCCAGACGTACGAGCGGCCGATCGCCTTCACAGCTCGCTCCAGACGTCTCTGGATTAACTTCAAGTCCAATGAGGCTAACAGCGCCAGAGGCTTTCAGATCCCCTACGTTACTTATGATGGTATGTTCATCTCATTTAGCTCACCAGCTGTGTCTCTAAATATCCGTCTCTCTCTGCCCTCAGGCTTTTCCACAAACTCATGACATTCTTTTTATGACGTTCCCGGAATTAATGAATATAATGAAGAAGTTGTGACTCAGATGTGTAATAATAATAACTTTATTTATAAAGCATTTTCCGAGAGCCAGTTACACATTGCATAACAAATTGAAACTCAACAGATAGAGAAGCAAAATATTCAAATAATTACAATAAGGAGCACTTTCACTCATTAAAGTGGACCTATCATGCTATATTTGAATAATATAGTGTAGGACCATACCTATAGAAGGCATATTTATACTTTTTATTTTTCAAAATACCAAACAGATCATGCATTTTAGCCATTCCTCATTTCGTTCAATTTAACACTGTCTTTGCATGGGCTGATTCTGTGAGAACAGCACCATCTACAGGCCTGAAATATGTACTACAGCGTCTCCAGCGCTTTCGAACGGCAATGTCCGTGGCTGCCTCCTCCTGATTGGTGGAGTTGGCCCAATAGCCGTAGCGCCACTTCTGTGACGTCATAGAAGTGTTCAAATCTGGATCAGTCTGTATCAGATCCGTTGCAGCCCCTTTTTAAGAGATTTGGGTATGGAGGAAAATAGAGAGGGTTGTGTTTTCTGACACTTGGTGAGTTCCCTGGAACACCGGGGACACATATTCATGTATAAAAGACGTACACAAGTGCATTTTGCATGATAGGTCACCTTTAAATAAGAACAAATGCAGCAGAAGCACTGAACAATGTACGTTGAGGGGAATTTTAATACAGATATAAAGCTAGCGTACCGTGATAGGTAGTTTATCCAGTATGAGAAGGGGTATTTAGATCCTTACTCAACAGATATCTTGAAGTTTAAAGTGAGTTGTACAGTATGATGTATTTATCCATCATTTCTTATTGGAACTAGTTATTTCTACCAAAGTCATGGTCCCTTTGAAATCGGTCTACAATATCTTCTATGGTTAACTTACAGTAAAAGTTACATTGCTTCTGGAAAAAGGTTTTTCTCAGAGCTGTGAGCACTACAAAAAAATCTCTTTCACTTCCTTATATTGTAGAAGTGAGTTGGATACCTCAGAACCTCAAAGTTCCTGTAAGTTCTCAGCGTTTTCATTGTTTTTAATACTCCTGTTTTCATCATTTAGTGAAGTAACTTATCACATGTTTTTTTTATTCAGAGGACTATGAGCAGCTGGTAGAGGACATAGTGCGAGACGGAAGACTCTACGCCTCAGAAAACCACCAGGAAATCCTCAAGGTTAGCAAATGTTTTTACTGTGTTTGTTTCTGGCTTTAATTTCTTGTTGATATATACGACCACCTGTCATACTTGACCACCAGCTTGTGGTGACTCATCAAACCACAAGCTGAACCTTAAAGGTGTTGTCTGTTCAGAAAAACAAAACACAAGACTTGCATTAGTCAGTCGGTACGTTAATAATGAAAAGATTTGCTAATGCCGTCATAAAGGTGTGTAATTTGTTTGGCAGCGTTGTGTAATAGCTTGACATGTAATTCAAACGTATTATTGAGGACGAAAATATGCTAAGTGTGATGTTTACATCCGCCTGTTCTTCCCTGCAGGATAAAAAACTGATTAAGACTCTTTTTGACGTGCTGGCTCACCCAAACAACTACTTTAAGTACACCACTCGGGAGTCCAACGAGATGCTGCCCCGCTCCTTCATCCGCCTCATAAGCAGCAAAGTCTCGGCTTTTCTGCGACCATACAAGTAAAGCTTACACGGCGGCCGAAGCACCGGATTGTGACCCCCTCCCCCGACGCCCCCCCTCCACCTTACAGGCCACATCCCTCACAGGACTTACTAGTATGTTTACGCTCTCCTAATATCCATAAGCTTTGACAATAAACACTATGCAGACCTGAGAAATACTGAGAATGTGTGTTTTAGGTTTGTTGTCAGTTTCCATTCAGCGGGGATGTAGAGTATTTCAGAGGGTTTGGTTTCTGTTGTGCAATGAAACCACACAAAAAAACAAAAGTGCCCATTTCAGACAGTAGGAGTAATGTTGTGTGTGTGGTTTGAGCTTGATAGAGCTTGCTATTGTATTTTAAATGAGCGGTCTGAGTCTCAACTCCTACCATTAAGTATGACTGTAAGTGTTGTGTAACCCTAGTTCCATCTCCAGTGTCTGTGTGCTGTCCTCGAGGAGGAGAGGTTGTTAAATTCATGTCGCAGCTGCGTTCCAGGTCATTCGAAGCCTTATTATATTTGAGCTCTTAGAGCAGTTTCCAAGGGTTTTACTGTTAAAACAGTTAATCTGTGTTTTGTTCCGTCTGTCTAGACTGTACCAGTGTTTTCCAACCTTCAGATTATTTCTGTTGCTCTTCTTTTTTTTTTTTTTAAAGCAAATACAAACAGGGGATAATAATTCCAGGAACATAGTGGACATTTGGGAGATGAATAACAAACTAATAATTGTGAGAGCCACAGAAATGAGATAATGTGATGTCTAGTGGAACATGTCTCTGAGAGAGAGATAAGAGAGAAATGTCTTTGAGGGACATTATGTTTGCTGCTTCTTTTAAAAAGGTCACTTTAATTCTTCAATCTCATATTGTCTGTCTTTCTGATGTACTCGACACTAATAGTCTCTACGTTTAAACTAAAGTTCTTATACACAGTAAGTTGATATTCTCACACTGCCTTTCTGTGGACAACCAGTTTTTATTTCAATCTTGTAAATAATGAAAATAAATTAGACGAGGGTTGAATTCTTTAATCCTACATTTCTTTTGTTACGCAGGACCCCCCAAATCACTTTTGCCCCACCAGTCTCAAATCCAAAGACACCAGTACCCTCTAAAACACACTTTGTTCCGTCCCAATGAAGACAGCTCTTCCAAAGACCGCCCAAAACGGGTGGGTTTCTTTGTTTTGTGCACTAGAATCAGAGCCTGCAATCCTACCTTTTAGTACAAAGTGTAATGATAAAAAAAACTACACCTTAATGTTGGTTACACCCTATTGTGACCCACAACAAAGCTTGTGAAATGTGTTCCAAGCTGCATTCCTGCTAAGACTCATTGTATGAAATATGTATCCGTCACTGGGGCAGAAAATGTTTGGGTTCCAACGTGCAACTAATCTCCTCTTCAGAGGAATACTAAAAAAGTCTGTTAAGAAGTGTAATAATTAAATATGATTTGTTATGAGAACAGCAACCAAAACAGGGTAAAATTGTTAGTTTTTTTTTTATCTAACACTTTGCTACATCGGCCAAGTAGTTAGGAATTGTTGCGACATTTTTCTTGCTGAGAATTAGATACCACTCTTATCTTAACATTAAATGGGAAGTAACAGCCTTCAGAAAGTTAGTAAACCACAAACAATAGAAACAGTTAGGCTGCCTATGTCCAAATTTTACAAAATCAACCCACCAGCAACTCTAAAGATCCCAAACCAACATTAAAATCTTGTGCTTAGTAAAACTCAATGTAATTTGCCGACGGTGCAGGGACTTCCTGGAGTCTCTGCTTTTGTTGCCTCTCAACCTTGGTACTGCATGAAGGACATTCAGAAAGAAAATAAAGTAGTATTTTCCCCCAAATGTAGGGACTATTTTTTAAAACTCATAATCAGCACCACTGCAGTCAAATTGGTCCAAACGACTGCATGGTCAGAGTGATAATCCCAACCACTTAATCCGTACATTCAGCCCTCTGGAGATATGAAATAGAGTTGACCCTTGCGCTCTTATGCCGTTTCCTTTTCCAGGGAGTTTTGTTTTGTCCCCACTCATGTAAATAAAAAAAGTGAGATGGTACACTTCCAATCCTGTACCACACTTTAGGATGACAAAGGGATGTTGACAATGTTGTCAAACTTGAGGGGGATGCTGGACGAAACCATGATTTAATGTTGGTTTGTAATTCCTCCACACAGGCCTCAGTTTATCTCCAGGTATTAGACTCACCCCCCCAAACCAGAATCAGCTAATTTCCTGCAACCTGATACTTTTTTTTTTTTTTTGTATTGTTGCCTTTTAACGAGAGTTTGCTATGATGTATCATAGAGTTGATAATGATATTTGCACTTGAATTGTTATTGCTCATGTAAAGAAATGTCTGGATTTTGTATTGTCTTTTTAAATGAATGGAATTGGTGTTCTTATTTTCTTGTAGCTTGTTTGTTCATGAAATGCTCACTCACCGTTTAGTCTATAGAGATGATACACATAACATTATCAACTGTTAAAGAAAAAAAAACTATGTACAGGAGGTGAATGAAACAAGTTTGTACTTGTCGCTGTCCAAAACACTTATTGAAATAAACATACTGTACTTCAGCTTCATTTCAAATATTTAATGTCTTTACAATGAGTTCATACGAGTTTTATGAGCAAGTAGGAAATATATATTACTATTAGTGCAGGAAGACAGTTTTAAGCTTAAGAGACCATTAGTCCCATCCTCTGGACTGCCGTTTAACCAGGTTGGATTAAATAATGTAGTTCAAATTTCAGCTAGCTTGTTAGCCCCTCCAGTTGGTGCGACTGCGACGTGCTGAAATAAACAGATGGTCATAAGTTTTGTAAAATATATATATTATGAAGAAATTCAACCAAGAATGTATTACTTACGTGTGCATTTAGGGAGGCCAGGGGACCAGCGGCCATCATGACCACAGGTAATGGAGCTGGGGCCGGACATCGTGTACCCCCACTCACACTCGATGGAGAGGTTGTCCCTTTCTTGGAACTGCTTGTTCTGAGCTCTCATCCAGTAGGCATTGGCCACATTTGGAGGTGGACATGATACCTCTGTGGAGAAATTGAAATAAATTCAGAAAAATATATAGTTGCTTAAAAGGTCACCCATTAGGCAAAATCCACTTTGGGAGTGGCATCTTATTTTCATTTAAAGTAAAAGACAGAGAATCAGCACTTTTGAAACAGGGCTGAAACAGAGGGGTTTATGGGATGCTACAATGCATGCTCTTGTGATAGATAGATAGATAGATAGATAGATATATGAGACCTATGACATATTGAGGAAAAACAGTATAATAGGGGAAGTCTGTTGTAACTAAGAGTATCATGAACCTCTGCATTCAGGAGGAGAGTTACTCCACGTCCCATCCTTGGTGCACCAAATGTTCCTTTGTCCAATGAGGGTTCCTGCGCGACAATGATAGCTGATCACAGTCCTGTATGTGTACGGTGGCTCGTGACGGTGTCTCATCTCTGCGTTGGTCACTGTTAACGGCTCCTCACACACCACAGCTGTAAAAAGGTTAAATAGTGTTGGCACAGCTAAAGAGGAAGGGAAATTAATGATCAACTGGCAAATGATGCTTGTTCAGCTCACCTTCACAAGCAGGAACACGTGCGTCCCAGCCTTTACTCAGGCAGTTTCTGGTTGCCTTTCCTACAAGACGATACCTGATGAAAAATTATCAAAAGTCAGAGTTTACAAGATGGAGAAAATCCTGTAAGTGTTAAGAATAACAGTATGTAAGAAAGCAGCGCAGTGTAAGGATCTTCCTCACCCCTCATCACAGACAGCTGTAGCCTTGTCTCCAAACTCCAATCCAGTGTATGTAAAATCTCCATTCATAATCTCTCCTGCAGAGCCACATGACTTTCCTATTGGGGATAAATAAAGGTTAAGTTAACCAGCTCATTGTGACCTTGTAAAATATTGTTTTTTATATTTATTTGCAGTCTATCAGTCATCAGGACTGTAAAATAGGTCTTTAAACGTCTGTTTACACACAAAGAAAGAAATATACAGAAGCCTTATTTGTCAGATTAAGAAAGCATGCACTTAAAAAACTAAATCTAAAATCATTGGGCAAAATCATACACAAGACACATTTCTAGGAAATCCACATGTTTCAAAAAAATTATAGAAATGCCTTTTAAACAAATGGTCAAAAATCAATGGTTGTGCTGCTCAATCAGTCAATAGACCTCTTAATGAGAACAAGAAAAAGTATGATTTCACAAAGGTTGTTCCATATTAATAGTACAATGAAGAGGACAATTCGATAAAAGTGATAAAATAAGTCAGTATATGTTAGTTAAGTCTTTACGTTGACATTTGAACTCCATTGGGGTCCACTGTCCCTCGATACACCTGCTGTATCTGCTGCCACCTGCCTGAACGTATCCGACATCACACACGTAATAGACTTTGTCCCCAGAAGCGAACCATGTCTTTCTGATGTACCTGTCAGCGAGGTTAGTGTTGTCAGTGTTTACCGGCACCCTGCATCCCCCTGCTGAACAGAGAAAAGTTTAGAAACAGAGCTCTTCTTTTGAATAAACTGAAATGTCTCCATACTGCCAAAATGCTGACAACTTGCTTATGTGGTGGAAATACTAACTCACTGCCTTCATTGGGTGACAGAGTTTTGTTTGGTGCAGGCCGGCACTGAGGGGGCAGGGGCTGCCACAGACCACCAGCTCCACACCTGATGCTCTGAGCTCCATCCAGCTGGAAACCCTGACTGCAGGTGAAGGTCACAGAGACCCCCACCCGGTGCACAGACACAGCTCCAGCACTGCTCACCAAGTGCCGGGCCACTGCAGGGGGGGGGCAGGTGACCTCTCCCTCTGAGGAGATTTCAATAGATTTTCTGTTAGGTGATTCTCTAAACATGAGTAATATACTGAACAACCTTAATATGATATCACAATCCTTATTGCATAATGGAAAATGTGTTTAAATGAAATGAAGGATATGCATTGTGCGTCACATGCAGACGGTAATTACTCATTTTTGACAACACTGCCCACTTGAGATCATCTATTAAGGTGCAGCAACTTCACCTTACTGTGTGTAAAGAATATAAATGGTTTGTGGATCATGAGTCTTTAGGGTTGCTCACCTTCACAAGACGGAATGTCACTGGTCCAGCCCGACTTCTTGCAGATAATATAATTAAGTCCTTTCAGAGAGTATCTGTGAACATAAAACACAAATTCAAAAGCTTATTCTGATCAAGTTGTACAGGATGTCAATCATTCTTCTACGTACCCCTCATTGCATACAGCATACGCTTTCTCCCCAATGAATGAGTTCCCTTCATACTGGAACTCTCCATGAGGCAGATCCCCAGCATTGCCACATGATTTCTCTGCAAAAAAGAAAGAGAGAGAGTTGATGGCCAATCACAACCATTGATATGTTGGAAATATTTTCCAAGGCCCATAACTTTGACCCAGTTTATCAGTTAAAACTGTCCTGACTGAGCACACGCACCTGTAACCTTGGCTGCTGTGCTCTCAGTGTTTTGTCTGCCTGTTGGCGTCAGCTGATAGAGGTGTTATGGTTCTATCTTGTTATGCACAATGTTGATTATTTTCTCAGAACTAGCTAAATACTGGGGTAGAGATCTTCAGAATTGGTTTGGCATCTCAACCGTGTGGTCAGATCGTGGCTCATGACAGGTCTTGTGAATTCTCCGGCCGAAGCTCCAAATAAACCACCAGTGTTTGCCATCAAAGCTCCAGCTCTCCTCGTGTCTCTCTGAATCCTGTCTCCAATTGCTTCAGAAATTTCCCACACATTTATGATCTTAACACTTAACCATTTAAGCTCCACACAGATGTGTCTGATCGTAAAAAAGGAATTGGTTATCTAGGATTTGCCTTTTACATCTTCATGTTATCTAAAATAATTGTTGGTCTGTGTGAACTTTCATTATAAAAAAAAAAAGGGATACAAACTTATAAATATCCTTTAATCTCGTGTCAATGTTTGGGTAGCATCTTAATAAAAAGCTGCATACATATTTCAATGTTTTCTCTTGTTTTATTCTAAAGCCAATTGCTTCGCTTTCAGACTTTAAAACATGTTATTGGTTCTATAAGATTTAGTAACCACGATATGTAATAGAATTACATGTAAATGTACCCCATGAGCGCTAGGGGGATACAGTCAGTTTGTAAAATATGCTTTAAATCACATTACTCTAAACGTCTCGTTGAAAACCTTCACAGAAACATTAACATTTAACCGTATATTGACCATTTTAAATGCTAAACTAGATGGCTAAGTATGCAAGGCACTTACTTTGGCATTTCAGAGTCAGTTTGCGCCATCCCCCAGCGACACACTGCAAGGCTCTGCTCCCCCCGGATGGAGTGAAGTCCTCGGCGCAGTCATAGTACACCTTCTCCCCGCTCAGGAACTTCTGTAAGCCGCTGTATTTCTTCACTAGTCTCGCATGTTGGTACTCCGGTGGTGCCGAACATTGTTTTGGTACTTGAGCTTTTATTTTGGAAAATGAAAAGATTTATTTTACATACAAATAACAAATAACAATCTGCAACATTTGAATTATTCTACTAATTACCTGAAACGCCAAGGGCAAATGATAAAAGCAGAATATTCAGACCGATATTCCTCATGTTTGTCGACTGTGTAGTTCCGTGTAAACAAATCCTGCAGGCAGATGACGGATGGAATGGCACCAGCCGGTTCAGATTAAGCAATTTATAGAGGAGGGCTCACAGCGGGAGCAGCGGGGAAAGCACAGCCCACATGAAAACAACAGAGCACACAGGACTACTGCCCTCCAAACACATACAACTTTATTTTTGTTGTATTGCCAACATTACTGTGATCAACCAAACCTATAACCTTCCTATCCGTTTTTTAAACAGAACCCATGATTATCATTTGTCAAGTCTAAGTGAATTTAAATTTCTTTCAGTATTTAGGACAATAGAAACAAAATTATATTTGTGTTCCAATAAGTAAAGTCAATAGAGAGTCAAGAGAATGTAAGTACTAAGACATAGTATAAAGCAGCGGTGCCCAACCTGTGGGCCGCGGCCCTCTAGTAGTCCGCGAAGGCATTGCAAATGGGCCGCCAAATAAAATAAAAAATAGTTTACAGGCTTAAGACACAAACATGGACACATAACAATAAGGAGATGATATTCCCATCTCAGACAACAACAAAACGAAAACAGAAGAAATAAAGATACAGTCAGCCACTTCAACATTTCACAAACAAAAATAGGTTGACAACCAAATATCACCAAAAACACAACATGGCAAGCATGTTTATTGTTCCTTTAATCCCACTCTTCGTTAGAGCTCATTATTTCCCATTTCATGGCGTGTCGAGCCACCCTTTGATTTTTGTGGCAATAATTTTTTTCAAAATAAATGTTATTTTTAATCTACTCTTAAAACACCTTAAATTAAGATTACTCCTTGATTGACTTTTAAAAATATGTATTTTAGCCAGAAGAATAGTTGTATTTATTAACTGTGTGCGGTCTTCATCTAAAAGCCCACATACAATATTAAAGGGTGTAAATGTAAATTCAATATTTGCCGCCAAATAATTTGCAAAGATATTATGATTTGTGTGGAAACATTTTCATTATTACGATTGCTTTTTATTTTAACCTCTTTTCCTTTCTCTTTCTTGATCCTCCTTAGCAACAGTCATTACAGTCCTTGACAGCGGTCTCTGTTCTACTGAATTTACAACATGTCACATGTTCTGAATTTACCATTCAGAACTTTATTTAGCCTCCGTATTGTTTATGGTTGAATGTGGGCCGCAAAAACATTTTTGATTCTTAAGTGGGCCCTGAGTTGAAAAAGGTTGGGAACCGCTGGTATAAGGTTAACCCTAACCCTATACTATGTCGTTAATTTCCAAAATTGTCAAGATAATATACTATGACTTTTTACACTATATCATACATCAATCAATCAATCTTATTAATATAGCTCCACACATTTGTCCTCAGGGACTTTTACAATTTGTAGCAGAATATTGCATACAAATATGACAACCTCTGTCCTCTACACACCCCAGAATTGGAGAAGGAAAAACTTCCAAAGAAAACCCACAGTTAATGGGGAAGAAGTGGAAGAAACCTCAGGGAGATCAACAAAGGAGGGACGGACGGATGTTGTATTACTTTTTTACCAGATGATTTAGTATGACAAAAGTGTTAAGTATTATTTAAAACAACTAAGAATGACAAACACATTAGCGTACATTAAGGGCTATTTTTTCACCATGTAAAATAATCAGAGCTTTTTATCTGACTTGACTCATTCAAGGATTATTTCAGTCGTCAGAGCAGGAAAATAACAACTGATAATTTGACCTTTTCCAAATCACCAGAGTTATGACTTTGGCTCTTTCCACTCCCAGAGTTATGACTCACTCTGGGAGGTCACATTTCAGATGAAAATCACATTCATTAAAATTCCTTCTTCATAAACCTAAAATTATTTTCTGGTCAAAATAACCATAACATAACATAATCAGAAAAATAACTGAACTCAATGTAAAAATGGCATTTAAATTAAAGTGGAACTTTCATGCTATATTTGAATAATATAGTGTAGGACCATACCTACATAAGGCATATTTATACTTTTTATTTTTCAAAATACCAAACAGATCATGCATTTTAGCCATTCCTCATTTCGCTCAATTTAACACTGTCTTTGCATGGGCTGATTCTGTGAGAACAGCACCATCTACAGGCCTGGCATATGTACTACAGCGTCTCCAGCCCTTTCGAACGGCAATGTCCGTGGCTGTCTCCTCCTGATTGGTGGAGTTGGCCCAATAGCCGTAGCGCCACTTCTGTGACGTCATAGAAGTGTTCAAATCTGGATCAGTCTGTATCAGATCCATTGCAGCCCCTTTTTAAGAGATTTGGGTATGGAGGAAAATAGAGAGGGTTGTGTTTTCTGACACTTGGTGAGTTCCCTGGAACACCGGGGACACATATTCATGTATAAAAGACGTACAAAAGTGCATTTTGCATGATAGGTCACCTTTAACTTTAATAAATGAAACATGTACGCCACAATGTGCAATAACACCTGAGCACTTTAAGACATGCAAATATATTGTCAATCCTTCAATTCAGGTGAAACATAGTCATACTATAAATGTTAAAATAACTCTGCTATTGTCACAGCCTAGTAGTCCTTTAAATAAAAGGCACTTTTTCCAAATACCAATCAATTGCCCACATTAAAATCAAAGTCATGTGAATAGAGATTATCCATACTGTATGGTTACTTAAAAGCTATTAATTAACAAGAAGTACTATTATTTTATCAGGAATTACACCATATATTTGCGTATAACTATGAGGACACTAAAAGTAATGAGCACCCTGCGTTTAAAATATTGGCATACATTTTATGGAGTTCAAATGTTGTCAGCTTTACGTTATCACAGTGAACCGTGCTGTATATTAAAGCTGTTATCTGAGCAGGAGGCAAAACACAGGAAGGCATTACTGAAGAGAAAAGTGGAAAATGTGTCAGACAGTAAGAAAGGAACAGTAGCTGCTGCACGTTTGATGAAACATTTCATTAAATTTCACAGCTTGGTTCTGCCCACCACAAGCCTTAAAGCTTTATACTACACTCAATATAAAATCATGACTACATCTAGCCAGAACCTGCACCTGAGGAAGGACGCACACAACCAGGGAATGTTTAAAAATAAATAGTCTGAGAAGACATCTAATACAGAAAAAAAGCCTGGAGTGTGCCAGAAACTAAGACGGGTTTTTTGAGTATTTCTTACTACAAATGTTTACTTCATTATTCATCTGAGCTGGATCCCAGCATAGATTTGAAGGCTTCTGTGCAAAGGCATCGATATCATGTCTATGTGTACAATCACTTACAAGCACATAACCTTTCAAACAAAAAACAAAGAGATATCACAAATAGCTTTACACTGATATGGTGAAATAAATTGCTTAAGAATGTAATGGCTGAAGCTGGTGGAGATTCTACTGCTGGTCGTTGAGATACTACATCCATGTGGAGAAAAGCCTGGGATAAAGGGAAAAACAAAATGTGTGAGATATATATGGAGAGTACAGATGTTTCACGTGATAAAGTTGTGGAAAAGGCTGAAAATACCTCTTTTGGCTTCTTTAACTCCCAACACAGTTGTCTGTGTCTGCTGCACTGAAGCTGTTCACAGAGTCCTGCAGGATGCAAAGGGAAGGGAGACGGCATTAAGACAAACACAGAGCCAAATAAGGAACCAGGCGTTTATTTTGACTGGCACCGACTGCAGGTGAGCTAATACTAAAAATCTGAGGTCAACAACCAGAGAAAACACACTCCCTGTCTGTTCATTACAGTATAAAGAGTACAGTAAATGTAATAAAGGTGACTTTGTGAGCAATAACATGCAAGAAACACATTGAAGATACTTAATAAAACGACATATCTGAGATGTTCTATGGGCCTGCTCTGTAGAATAATGATGCAATGTATGTGGAGCATAGAAACCAAAGCACAGAAGAACTATACGTCCAAAACATTTATTAATATATCAATTATTAATGCAAGGGGTGAGAAAGAAACTCTGCTTTACACTTATAACTCCAATCAGTTGATAAAACAAATCAAACTGTACTTCTTTTACCATCCTTTATCATTATTCACCAGTTTTTCTATTTATTCATTTAGTTTACTCTCCATTTACCAGACCTTTAAACCTCTACCAATGACAGTAGTACTCACTACACTTTGTAGCAGCTCTGCCCCCTCGGATGCCTCAGAGAACTGCATGCTGGGTAAGGTGGGGGCCTGGGTCTTGCGGGCATGCGGGGGGTTGCCCACGCTGTACAGACGGGGCCGTTTGGTCTGGTCTTGGCTGGACAACGGGGTGAAGCTGTTCCTACGGAGGAAAGCGGGCGGTACCGTATTTGCTGGGACTTTATTCTGGAGAGTGAAGAAAGACAGACAAAGGTGGGCTGATTACAATTTGCTTTTTTATGTTTTAACCTTAATCAAGGACTTAAAGGTCCCCTATTATACTTTATTATAGGTCTCAGATATACAGTATACAAAACATGTCTCTGAAGTGTTTGGCTCCAAACACCAAACAGATCATTGTAGCATCCCATAATCCCCTCTGTTTCAGCCCTGTTTCAAAAGTGCTGATTCTGTGTCTGTTACTTTAGATGAAAATAAGGAGCCACTCCCCACACCCCTCTGAGAGATATTTGGTTAAAAAGAACCCAATGGTGCTCTAGGAGGAGATTCAGGTGATAAGGTAGGGGGGGTTACCTTGGTCGGTGATTGGCTAATGGTTACACAAGCCTACAAATCTTTATGACATCATAAAGTGGCCAAAATCTGATCAGCTCATTTTCAGACAGGTTTTTATAGAAATGGATCAGGATAAAAAGAGAGAGAATCTCTTTTCCTGAAACTTTCAGAATCTCTTTACACAGAGGGGACACATGTTTATGTACACAAGACATGATAAATGGATTTGGCAGAATGAGAGGGCGAGGGAGGAACAAGCCACTGAGACAAACAGCTCTAAATAGAAAGGCCAGCGTCATGTTGGTCCCAGCAGACAGGATATTTATCAGCCCATTTAACAAGAGGTTTCTCAGGGAATGTGTTTATGTGTTAACACCCACTCTCTTTAGGACTCTTGGTTTCTCATCAGCACAAACTCTACAACCAGGGAGCAGATATGGAGCCGGTTGATTAGGAAATGAAGACAAAAAGAAATTAAACATGCCTTTGGGATTTCCCGTCCAAACACAGATTCATCTTCTGTTCAGCATTTTCTAATCGGTTCATTAAAGAATAGCCAGTTGCTATTTAGAAGTTGTCTGTTGGGGGACGGTGATTGATAAGTCCAGGGGGCAGAAGTAGAAACCATGCAAATTCACACAAAAAAAGTGGTATTTTCGAAAAGCAATTCTTATAGAAAAAGTGTACAAACATTAAACTTTGTAAAGTGTATTTTGGGTTTGAATTCTTCTTGTGCTTGTTTGTTTTTCATCATGTTGCATTTCGCTTATTGGGGTCAGATGTCTCCCTTTAACCCTCCGGTATCATTCGATTGGACTACGCAAATTAGTCATTCGAGACAAAAATGTCCACTGCAAAATACTTTGATAAAAACATTATATTAAAAGTTTTTTTTCACAACTTTTTTGGGTTCAATCTTTAAAGCAACTTCTGCCCTAATAGAAAATACCAAAAATGTAATCATTTTCAGGATTTTCCAAAAAATCCTGAAAATGTTATTTTCCAAAAAATACATATCTGGTGACTGGCTCTTTTTTTTTATAACAGTATTGGATATGTCAAAGATTAGCAGCAAAATGGATTTTCTTGCATTATTACTTTTTGCACAAAATCAGATTGAACAAAAAAGTTACATATTAGTCCTTTGATAATGTCTCTTTCACAAACAGACATACACAAATCCTATCCAATGTTTGCTCAAACATCTGTGGCATCAACATCCCTCCAGTTTGCCACCGAACGTCCCCCATGCAGGTGTGTCATGTCGACAATATTGCTGATGATCATCTCAGGAGTAAAGAATAAATCAAAGAAGGATTCCACGTCATGAATTCTTATTTATGCCACTCGTAATGGCATAACGCGTGGGCCCTGAAACCAAACCTCTGGCAGCAGGAATGTAGCGTGGCGTTTCCTCGTGAGAGGGAAACCAGATTTGAAAATGTTTTGATGTCCACCCACTGCCATGATGGACACGATCCTCCGGATAGGATAGTGCAGAGGCATGTAATGCAGCTACGGGATGGGATCCTCTGTGTCCTCTCCACTTTCAGGGGAAGGCTGAAAGTGGAGAGGACACAGAGGATCCCATCCCGTAGCTGCATTACATGCCTCTGCACTATCCTATCCGGAGGATCGTGTCCATCATGGCAGNCAAGTCAAGCTGGAGGTTTTCCCTTGAGCGAGGGCAGATCACGTACCAATCACGGTCCTCGCGTTTCAAACTGTCTGAAATGAATCGCTGCATCTGTAGCTGCGCTACATGCCTCTGCCCTATCCTATCCGGAGGATCGTGTCCATCATGGCAGTGGTTGGACATCAAAACATTTTCAAATCTGGTTTCCCTCTCACGAGGAAACGCCACGCTACATTCCTGCTGCCAGAGGTTTGGTTTCAGGGCCCACGCGTTATGCCATTACGAGTGGCATAAATAACAATTCATGACGTGGAATCCTTCTTTGATTTATTCTTTACCCCTGAGATCATCAGCAGTATTG